CTGGCTAATAACATCTAGCTATTAAAACGTTTTGACTAGTGAATAACTGTGCAGTGTTTCTGTAATTTGCTTCACTAACTCATGGAACTAATCATGTGTTTCAGGCGAGGAAAATCAGCAACACCACTCGGTATTGGAAACAAGCGAGGTTCTTGGCGTTGGAGATCGGAGCTTGCTCGCTTGCTCGTCCCCCTTACCGGCAACAAAACGCAAAGGTAAACACACTGTAACTTTGTCTTGAAAGAACGTTACGCATAGATGTTCACAATCATGTTTATTTCCTTCTTTATTGGTACAATTATGAAACAGCGTGAAAGAGAACATTTCGCGCCTTTTTACTCTCTTACAAACATTGTAAACATCCGGGCTAGAGGTCACATGACTTCCGGTAAGAAATCGCTTCCACTTGGAGCATATATCGCCACCTACTGTTGATTTATTAAATCCTTGTCCCCAGACCAGTGCTTTTGAAGAATTTGAAGATCAGCTTGTTTGCTTCATTTCTTGATTTACTTTCATATATTGACTTGAAATCCATGTCCTTGACGTTGAGTTGTTCCAGTGCAGTTATCAGAATGAGTCTTTGTCTGTTATAATCCAGGCAGCTAAAAAATACATGATGTATGTCTCTGGTTGTTGATCTTGTATCTTGCTTATTTTCCCCTCTTAGGAAAGCGGACACAGGATGCACTTTTCCTCGAGACCATCCAGGCGTTGGAGGACCAGCGTGCCGTGGCGAATGAGTCGCTGCGCCTAGATCAGGCGGTGCAGTTCAGCCAGACCCAGGAAGCGGAGGCCAGAATGCTCACCTCGATGGAGCAGCAGATGGAGCGCCAGCGGCACCAGGATGAAGCGTTGGCGCGGCGCCAGGAGCTGCGCCAGGAGCGGCAGGATGAGCGACAAGCGGCATTTCACACTGGGTTTCTGGAAGTGCTTTCCCAGCTAGTGAAAGCCAACAGGTCTTCCTCCAAATAGTGGCCCCTGTTAATGTCTGCTGCTGAGCCTATGCATAGTTTAGTTAAGTTAAGTTTTATATTATTGCTGTTTTCACTTTATTTTTTATATAATGTCCAACTGACACTTTGACACTTTATTTACATAACAAAATTGTTCTAATTTCATGTTATGTCATATGCTGCAATAAATAAAACCAACATGGCGATTAAATCATCTTGCTTATTTCTGACACTTTATCTTTAGTGACCTGTGTAGCATGCTATACATCACATGTAAGTGAGTATTCTGATACCATCATGTTTCATCGGTTATAAACTGGCAAAGCTTTATTTGTCATTTATTTATCATCAACCTTGTGGAGGAATGGCAGCGGCACATACACAAATATGATAATTTATATCATTTTAAATATTTGACCAAAACTTTTAATTCCCCCACATTTCACACAACACAACATGGAGTCCACTATGGGCCAAAAATGACATGAAAGTTTCCATTTTTTATGTTTTTATTTCCAAAATGAAACTATAAAACACTAGGGTTGTGAATGCTAGGTTAGTATCATCATAGGGCAAATAAAAACTGATGCACCAAATGAAACTAGGGGTAGATGGTGACTTAGTTTGAATACAGTCACGTCATGTTCAAAATGGCCCATGTAAAAAGTAAAGTGCTCAAAAGCAGCTAGTTTACTATGAATTCAAGTTTACATTAAAAAGCAGAACAATTATCAATACATTTCTGAAGTGATTTACCGATTTCTACATTCCCCTCGTCTCCGTTTTCAAGATTTGTTGACAGCAGAGCCGTATAATTGAAGAGTTACGACATAAAAATTGTTCTATTTCATGTTATGTCTTGAGAGTGCAATAAAGAAAACCGACATGGCGATTAAACAGATCCTTATTTTATATTGTTATTACTGTTATTATATAGTACAACTGACACTTTATTTTATATTGACAATGTTTAGTGACATGTACAACTGACACTTTAGTTACTAACATGTATGTTAGTTTTGGCTACTATTACACTATTGTAATGTTGCCTGTCTTGACTGCAAAATGAAAGAGAGAAACAAAAGCACCGTAGAAATGATCAGCTTTATTGTCAATAATGTTTACATTTATTGTTTAGAATGTACAATTTACACGCTGTTCAGATGCCTCATAAGGGCTGTGCGTGTGTCTTGCCCCCCAGCCTCGGCAATGGCTGGCGCTGGCCCATCAAGCTGGGTCGCCGGTAAGGCAGTCCATTCCTCCCTGTACTCATCATCATTACTTTCACAGAGGTTATGTAACACGCAACATGCTGCCACCTGGATTTTTATCTTGTCCATCTTGCAGTCGTTTCTTTTCATCAGGCACCGCCACCTGCCCTTCAATCTGCCAAAAGCGTTCTCCACCACCACTCGTGCTCGGCTTGTTTTGTGATTGTACACAAGTTGCTCGGGTGTGAGCCTTCCTTGGAAAGGTTTCATCAGCCATCTTTGCAGGGTGTAGGCTGAGTCACCAAGGATATAGTAACCCACATCATGTCCACCAATAGTCTTTGTTACATGAGGAAGTAGACCACCCTTATCCGCAAAACTACACAGTGATGACATGCCAAACACTCTGCTATCATGCATGCTCCCTGGTAAGCCAACAAAAACATTCCAAAAGAGGCCTCTACCATCCACAACACCCTGCAGGACGAGCGAGTGCCAGCCTTTGCGGTTGAAATACTCGTTGTGGTATTCCTCTGGTCTCAGAATGGGGATGTGTGATCCATCTACTGCACCTACACACTGTGGCACACCCCATCTGCGGTCAAAAAATAACGCCATCTCCTCTAACTTCTCAGCGTTCGGCCATGGCATGAACTCACAAAGGAGTATGCTCACAACAGAGGAGCAGAACTCGTGCACACAGTAACACACTGTAGATTTGCCGACTCCAAACAAATGAGAGATGGTCCTGTACTCAGAGTTGGTCGCAAGTTTCCACAGTGCTATGGCGATTTGCGTAATCTTCCCTCAGGGAAAAGTACTCTGGTGTGAACGCGATCTGTACTAAGTGCCCTGGGGTTAAAAGCGCCAGGGCTCTTAGTGCCGGAACTAAGTACAGGAAAGTACTTGGTGTGAACGCGCCTTATGAGAATGTCTTCTCTGACAGTTGTTGTTGACTGTATGCTTTTTAATATGGACAATGAATCTATATATCACCACCCTATCTGGTCTGACCTCTTCAACCCACTGTAATCCTATTATTACAGCCAGCATTTCTGCTGTGTACACTGATAATTGATCAGACGCTCTTTTTGAGATTGATATTTTAAAGTCTGGGATATATACCAACTCCAACACACTCTTCCTTGTTCTTAGAACCCTCTGTGTACATTTTGAGGTAATTGTAATAATAATAATAATAATTTGAATTTATATAGTGCCTTTCATAACCTCAAGGTCGCTTTACAAAGAAACATACAAGGACAAGACATAAAACATAAAAAAACATAAACATAAAACAGGGGGCAGAAATGGAAGTGTAAGTGGGGGGGGAGTGAGTTATAGTTGGAAGGCGATGTTGAACAGATGAGTTTTAAGGGTTGATATGAAGATGTTGAGAGAAGGGGCGTTGCAGATTTCTGCAGGGAGGGAGTTCCAGAGGGTGGGGGCAGCGACACTGAAGGCACGGTCCCCGAAGGTGCGGAGGTGTGAATGGGGAATGGAGAGCAGGCCGGAGTCTGAGGATCGAAGGGTGCGGGACGGGATGTAAGGGTGGAGGAGATCTGTGAGGTACTGAGGGGAGAGGGCATGGAGGGATTTGTAGGTGAGGAGCAGGAGTTTGTAAGTGATGCGGGACTTGACCGGGAGCCAGTGGAGGTTGAAGAGACTAGGGGTGATGTGCTGCCAGGGCTTGGTGCATGTGAGAACCCTGGCAATTGTCAAATAAATAAACAAATCAAATATCTGTATAGCAATTACAAATGTTTGGCATATCTGAAGCTGATGTTCTTGCAGGATTCGTGCTGTTCGGAGTTTGCATCCTCGTGGTTGATTGCACTTATTGTAAGCTGCAGAGGTGGAATAAGTACTCAGATCTTGTACTTTAGTAAAAGTAGAAGTACTCAGACCTTGTACTTGAGTAAAAGTAGATGTACTCAGATATTTTACTTGAGTAAAAGTAGAAATACCAGAGTGTAGGAATACTCTGTTACAGTAAAAGTCCTGCATTCAAGATGTCACTGAAGTAAAAGTACAAAAGTATTGGCATCAAAAGATAGTTAAAGTTCCAAAAGTAAAAGTACTCAATATGCAGATCGACCCATTCAGAATAATATATATGATATGTTTTGATTATAATCATTGATGCATTCATGTGTTTATCACATTTAAATGCTGGATTTATTTGTATTGTGTTGATCATTTCTACACACGGTGGTATTACTATTTTTATTTAAGTTAAAGTGCAGCAGGAGGGGACTCTTTAAAGTAGAGACACTACATACTGATATACACCTGAACATCAGCAGGAGAGGACTCTTTAAAGTAGAGACACTACATACTGACATACACCTGAACATCAGCAGGAGAGGACTCTTTAAAGTAGAGACACTACATACTGATATACACCTGAACATCAGCAGGAGAGGACTCTTTAAAGTAGAGACACTACATACTGATATACACCTGAACATCAGCAGGAGAGGACTCTTTAAAGTAGAGACACTCCATACTGACATACACCTGAACATCAGCAGGAGAGGACTCTTTAAAGTAGAGACACTACATACTGATATACACCTGAACATCAGCAGGAGAGGACTCTTTAAAGTAGAGACACTCCATACTGACATACAGTGATTTTAGTGTCATGTGAAATCTCTGTTTCTTCTCTTAATGTTTATCCTTGTTTTAAGTTGCAAATGGTCCTGCAGTGATGCAAAAAACCTTCCAGACTTTATCTGATAATAAAGTATCATCGTATGTTGTGAAAACAGCAGCATGGGTGTTTACATCTGTGCTTTAATATTTATTTACAGTATTTTAATAATCTCACCTCATCACAGAAGTCAGCGTTCTGCGTGCACACTATTGTTTTAGGGGCACCAAACCTGAACGAAAAGAGAAGAAGAGGAGATTAATTTCAGGTTAAAAATATTGTTATTTCTGCGTCCTGATGGTTGCATTTTAGAAAAAGTCAGATTTTTTTTCTGATTTTACTTCCATTCTTGAGAGGATAATAAATACATGGATCCTGATATTGAAGACCAAGCCGGTGACGAGTGAGATTTTTCTAACAAAAACACACATGTGAAAGGGAAGGAAAATGGGAGACAGTGTGGGTGCCTCGAGGCGAATCATTTTCAGATTATATATATACACAGTATTCTGGTCTTGGACATCACTGAATCCTTTCTGGCAGGAAGATCATGGACTTTTACGAAAAGTTTTTCAGATAGACTTTCCATTTAACTTTGAATCTTAATATTCGATGATTCCTCTAAAGTAAAATATTTATTTTGAACCCTGAGTGCTGCTAGCAAGAATGGCATTACTAGAATGTGGTTAAAACCAGGAAAACCTATTGTGGATATGGGCATTGTTTAGGATATTTTGGAGGATTACCTTTGCTTTGAGATAGCGACACATTGAATATGTGACATGTCTCCATGCTTTAATGTTCAAAAAGCTCTTTATTTTTCTCATACTAGAGGGAGAATCTCCAAAAACAGAATAGGGCCTCTTTAAGATTCACATATCATGAATGAGGCTTCAAACACCTGGTCAGGTAAAGTGTGATTACAGGTGATCTTGTGAAGTGTATCTACCTGTATATGCATTTGGAAATACATTTTGCGACAGAGAGAGCGTCCGTCCTCTGAACCGGAAAAGCTTCGGGCCATTTACTGAAGTAATCGATGAGCACTATGACGTTAGAGTTCCCCTGCTGCGTCTCTGGGAAAGGCCCTGAGGAAGAGGAAGAGGAAGATAAGGTGAGGTGAGGTAAGATAAGGTAAGGTGAGGTAAGGTGAGGTAAGATAAGGTAAGGTAAGGTGAGGTAAGGTGAGGTAAGGCAACGTAACATTTAGTAAGAAATAAAACAGCAGATAAATATAATTTGAGGAAATTAAATGCAGGCAAAAACCTATAATGTCGATCCCAACGATCTCCCAAGGTGCGTCCACTTTAATGGGCCGGACCGTCCTGGCCAGGTTTTTACTCCTTTCTGTGTGCTGACAGGTGTCACACACTTTGATCTGAAACAGGACACAGTTCAAAGTTAAATATTAATATAACTATTAAGTCACAGTGTCATAGAGTAGAGCAGGTGTTGGACCCTGAAGGCAGCATCTCCCTGGTCCAATGGGATTTTGGATTATTGCAGAAAATAATCTCTTTGTCAAACAAACGTTTATGATACTGACATGTTTAGTTCAGCAAGATAATCTCCACATATTAACACCACTTTATGATTTTGTAAGGAAAAAGCTAACTACAGGCTATAAGGAACTACAGCACGGTCACATGACTTCATGTCACCACCGCTAAGCTAAAGGTGGCTAATGTTGGGCTATAAAGGAACTACAGCACGGTCACATGACTTCACGTCACCACCGCTAAGCTAAAGGTGGCTAATGTTGGGCTAAAAAGGAACTACAGCACGGTCACATGACTTCACGTCACCACCGCTAAGCTAAAGGTGGCTAATGTTGGGCTATAAAGGAACTACAGCACGGTCACATGACTTCACGTCACCACCGCTAAGCTAAAGGTGGCTAATGTTGGGCTATAAAGGAACTACAGCACGGTCACATGACTTCACGTCTCCACCGCTAAGCTAAAGGTGGCTAATGTTGGGCTATAAAGGAACTACAGCACGGTCACATGACTTCACGTCACCACCGCTAAGCTAAAGGTGGCTAATGTTGGGCGTGATGACGTTTAGTCGTCTCATTTAGACACTTGTTAGCAACCGACAGTGGGTTATTTACTGATGTATTTTATGTCGTAAAACTAAAAGTGAAAATCTCTTCAGCTTGTGTCAACCTCAGACCTTATTTCAGGATAATAACCTAAAACACATTCAGAAAAAACTTCAACACCAGGGGACAGGAAGGGATACAATGCTGACTCATCCCTTGGTTTTAGGACTCATTCCTGCACCACTGCATTAAAGACGAACGTACCCAGTCCACCACGTCCTTGATGATGCCCAGCCAGTAGTACTTGCTCTGGATTCGGTGCACGGTCTTCTTCTGGCCGAGGTGATGACCGATGTCGTTGAAGTGGCAGTCGAGGAAAATCTGCCTCTTCCTCTCCGCCTCGATCACCACCTCCCTCTTCGGCCCGACGTAGTACAGCTTCCCCTCTGAGTGAAGGAAGACACAATATTAGATTTTGGATAATAGAAGATTCCTTAAAATCATATTTTAAGTTCTGCTTTGGGTTGTAGACTTTGTGTTTTAAGTAAGGGATAATGAATACAACTCTTAAGGGTGATATGTCTCTATAATGACCGCCTCGCTGCACATTATCCGCCTATTTCACGGCCACATACTTAACAAACCAACGACTTGACTCACAATATCAATTGAAAATGATTATATTGACTTAAAAACGATCGTCAATTCCACCAGGCACTATTTTGCTTGGCAGCGGTGTGTTATCGAGTATTAACAACCTCTGCAATCTCCAAATTAACCAATCAGAATCGAGTATTCAATTAAGCCGTGTAATTTAACATTCATCACAAATCTAAATAAAGTATGTAACCCTGCCTTGTTTATTTTGAAAGGCATTCTAACAGGAAAAATGAAATGCAAATATAAGATTCAGATAATCATTTAAAGGTGGGGTAGGTAATTTTGGAGAAACCAGCTCGAGTGCGCTAGAATTTGAAAATACACAACCGGAGAAAATCTGCCACTTCCTTACAGAGCCCCTCCTCCAACACACACGAACGCGCACATGACCAATGAGGGCACGAGATAAGTTTGTGCACAGATGGAAGGCTGACAGGCAGGTAGGCCATCCAGTTACTTTAGCCGGGCCGGCTCAAATGATTGGTCGTACTTTTTACAGTATTACGGCTTCCACAGATGACATTTTTTTATGGATTTTTTGTCAAAGCACTTCAGATATTCATTGCTATCAGGATGTTAAGAGCATTCCATGGAATATAACAACAAGTGTATCTCGAGCCGGTTTCTCAAACTTACCTACCCTACCTTTAACCTTTAACAAACTATGAATGTGTCATACCCACCTAACGGTAAGAAACTCAGCGAACTCACGATACGAACCATTTTCACAGAAACAAAACACAAGTCTCACAAGAAGCGTCTAAATGAGCCCTGAGCTCGTGGCATGGGAAGCAAACCCAGACATCACACGACGTAGCTTTACGGAGCAAATACGGCAAATATGTCTTACCTTTTGCTGTTTCTGATCAAAAGTTGTGTTCAATGGCATTAAAACGAGAAAAACGCGGCTGAAGGTTAATCCAATGTGTCTGTGTCACTTTGAAATGATTACTGATAATCCATCACCATATTTATGTCAATAACGGAGTTTTCATATAGCTGCTATCATAGCTACCAGAGTGTATGACAGCTTCCGGTTTTGGGCATTCTGGCTAAGCATCACTCATTCAGCACGGTCACATGACTTCACGTCACCACCGCTAAGCTAAAGGAGGCTAATGTTGGGCTATAAAGGAACTACAGCACGGTCACATGACTTCACGTCACCACCGCTAAGCTAAAGGAGGCTAATCTTGGGCTATAAAGGAACTACAGCACGGTCACATGACTTCACGTCACCACCGCTAAGCTAAAGGAGGCTAATGTTGGGCTATAAAGGAACTACAGCACGGTCACATGACTTCACATCTCCACCGCTAAGCTAAAGGTGGCTAATGTTGGGCTATAAAGGAACTACAGCACGGTCACATGACTTCACGTCACCACCGCTAAGCTAAAGGTGGCTAATGTTGGGCTATAAAGGAACTACAGCACGGTCACATGACTTCACGTCACCACCGCTAAGCTAAAGGTGGCTAATGTTGGGCGTGATGACGTTTAGTGGATAGAGCCGGCGGCCCGAAGCGACGATGTCCTCCGCGCAGTTGGTTCAATGCCCGGAACAGATGAACTTTTAATCATTCCTTTTCAACTTTAATACTTTATTAACTGATAAAAGGCCCTCTCCGCCCAAACAAAATTCCAGCACTCTCTAGTCTCTTCTCAATAACCCAATACGCACAATTATCAATCTTTAATTGCAAATAGAACATGATATTCAGTCTTGTGTGCATCGAATATTTTTCGAGGCAAAGATACGTTAAACTCACTGCAGCCTTGCACTTCGCCAGGAGAGGTCGCTGTAACTGAAGCTTCGAGAAATGAACCTATTTCCGACACAATTGTCCAAGTGGTTCGATGCTTCATTCAAAGCTTCATTTTGCCATCACTACTAATCGGCATGTTTAGCAGCAATGAAAACGTCAGCTGATGTTGCTAATCATCCAAAATACAATCAGGATTAAAATACTGGGCTTGTGCCTGTCTGTCTTCTTCTTCTCTCGGTTTTTGGCGGATTGCAAACAACTTTAAGGTGCATACCGCCACCTACTGTACAAGAGTGTGTATCACCATATCATCCTATCACCACTTGTGGAATTATACCACTGTATTTACGTTGTTTTAAATTCTTCCAATCAATCCTGTTTCACTCAAATACTTAATAATGGCCTTCCTGGTAGCTCTTACCCCCTCACCTTCTGTTCCCAGTATCCCCATCAGGCTCCCTGTCTGTCTTCTTCTTCTGCTACTTTTTAAATAACGTAGTTTGTATTCTATTGGTTTAGCATGAGCTCCCCCTTCTGGCCAGTGAATGGTACTTCATGTAAACTCCAGATGAAAAAAATAATGTAAACAATGTTTTTGATAAATTACAAAATGACACAAGTATAAATACATTAATAAATAAATACATATATTAAATTAATACATGAGTCAGGGTTTAAATAAATGAATACGGAAATAAATAAATAAATAGAGTATATAAATGAACAAAGTTTGTAATCAAATATATGGTAATTCCCTAAAATATGTTGCATTTAAATCTCACAAGTGAGAAACTGTACACTTTAAAAGTTTGGATGTAATAACATGTAAGTCTGTATTTTTACAAAAGTGGCTTTTATTTTGAAAACCTCGAACCGGAAGTATACTGTTTGTTGCCTGCTACTTGCTAAAAACAGCCGTTGAGCTTGTCAGTTGGTTATTTTTGCGTTTGTTTGCACGTTTTTATCAACATATTAGATTATAAACGGGTTAACATGACAAACGAGGATCGTCAGTTTTATATCTGTAACTGTTTCACCACTGATAACATCTTTCTGGAGGAATACAAGCTCCATGTCCGCTTCGTCTCCGAGCAGCAGTTCAGACGGGACTATGGCCCTTTCTCATGTCATCAAATGTCCCTCCTCGACTCCTCGACTCCTCGGTCCTCCGGTAGTGACCCGGAAATGAATTTTAGCGCGCCATGTTGAAGGACATCTCATTTCTCGAAATGCACATCGAGGACCGAGCATCGAGCGCCGAGGAGGCTCTCTGGAGGAGCTATAACCGAGGATACACTGATGGGTCCTCCACGGTCCTCCACGGCTCCTTCGTGGATGCATTTCCGGCAACAGTGATGTTTCAAAGAGTCGAGACGCACGGCCGGACTTATCTCAGCCAATGACAGCTCTGCATGCATCCCCTGGATATTATTTTATTAACTGCTTTCATTGCGACGCGATGTTTACACTGAGAACAGCTGTGAGGTCCGTGCAGAAAGCAGAGCAGTGTGTATAATCATGGGCGTCGCAGCCATTATATGAGGGTGGGACAAGTCCCCCCCACTTTTTCAAATGATTAGTTTAGACCCTCCCACTTTTACTATGCGGAAAGTCCGTGAATCGGTCTATCCACTCGCCGCACTTTGTAGAGCGCTGTGTCAGTGCTTCACTATCAAATGAAATCCATTCCACTTGCTTATTGAGAGAATGCCCAAATCAATGAAACTCCGTACCATGTTTTCACTGCTACTTTGTACCAAGGCAGATTCTCACATAGCGCGCGCATGTTCAAGGAGTGTTGTCATAGTTGGACAGCTCAGATCTGTTGTTTGAAGCGATGCCGGTAGCGGAGGTAAGGCACACACACCAAATGTTCAGGAAATGGTTAATACAGCGAAAATCAAAGCTGACGATCTCTTGGTTTGATATGTTTTCTCCCCCAGACAACATGGACATAAGAACATTTTTTTCAAAGAAGAGGAAAGTAAGTCATCAGCTGGTAGCAGTTAATCAGTTAACAGTGATGGCGGCGTCTCACTTCTGGAGAGGAGTTTCGTCTATGTCATAATAGAGAGATACAAATACTGAATAGTTTAGATGAGAAAAGGCATCGAAATGCCAGGTTACTAGTATTTATCAGTATTTATTATCACTTCACCACCTCTCTTGACATCTAGGCACTTGAGAGTGAGTCAGAGGCAGAATACAGGGAGAGAGAGAGAGGTCCATTGCTGAGGTGAGTGATGAAAGGGAAATGACAGTTGAGAGTAAATTGTGATGTGGACTCTCATCCCAGGATTTTAAGGAAATCAGTGGGGATATTGAACAGGAAACATTTCAGTCAAGGGGCATCATATGACCAATATAGACAGAAGAGCAACATTTATTAGAACATTTAAGTCAATGATACCATTCCTAGGTGAACTTAACATCTGTATGGAGTCAGATCAGTCTCAATATTAATAAATGCTCACAGAAGGATTCACAAATGTATTTTGCGATTTATATATAAATGACTCTCCACAACAATATCTCTCAATGCACTCACAAATATTTATTGTTGTATATAAATGTACAAAAAATGGGCATTTAAACTGCTTTTTATTAATTCAAAGACAGCTCTGAATTAATAATCAAATATGTTTCCTTTCTTTACTACTGGATGAAATTACAAAATGTACCCATCATTTCCCTCATGCTAGTATAGCCACATAAAAGTATCAAACCACCTGTTAAAATGCACCAGAATACAGGAAATCTATATTTTTTTTCGCCCCCACACCCCCGTTAAAAATGTCCCCCCCACATTCAGGATGCTTCCTACGCCCATGTGTATAATATATATCACTCAGTATAACAGGCCTACTCTCTTTATTTGCTTTAGTTTAGTAGATATCTACAAACAAAGTCGATATTTTTCTAAAACCATTTAGTGCTTCACATAATAAAATACACAACGGCTGTCGCCTGATTATATGCTTTAGGAGCTGTAGGTGCGTGTGTGTGGTACAGTGTGTGCGTAGATGCAGCGGACAGACAGGTCTCAGTTGGTTTGGTGTCCTCTGCTTACTTGTAAATAAAACTTTTGGCCCGTCATTTATTTCCCTCATTGTAGCGACCAGAGAGAGGGGGGGGGGGGGGGGGGGGGGGGGGGGGGGGATATATCCAGTCTCTGATAGTGTTACGTTATTATGAGAGTGCTCTGTTTGATTCTGAAATTGTATATACATATATGTGTGTGTGTGTGTGTGTGTGTGTGTGTCCGCATCTGTAGCCTGTTATTGTCTCATTATACCGCACTGTGAATGAATTAAAAGTAAATATATAAGTCGTCATGAACACATCTGTCCATCAGACAGAGGGCTGCTGTGCCTCCTGTCATCATTAATGGACGTCTCTTTAAAATGACCGCTCAGAGGAGAGGAGTTCTCATTTCTCTAACCGCCTGCTGCTTCCCCTCCTCTCTCCTCGGCTCCCCTCCTCGGCTCCTCCGCTCGCATCTCCTGTGGGCGGGACTAAGTCTCGAGGATAGGAGTCGAGGAGGGGAGTCGAGGAGGGACATTTGATGACATGAGAAAGGGCCTATGGCTGCGTTTCACTTCGGTTAAATGGATTCCTTGCGTCCCTCACTTGCGTCGTTTCCCTGCGACTAGTCCCTCCCACCAGGGAAGCATGGAGAGACGCAAGGAAACCACGAGAAGCAGGGAAATGAGTTTTAAGAGCAATGGGACGTCGTTTCCTCCGGAGCGTCACGTGAAGCGACGTCCGTTTGTGATGACGCTGCACAGCTGATCGTCTGACAGCAGCTCTGTCCCCGTTATTTTCACAAACACCCCCGCCTCTGTTAGTACACATTTACTGACACAAACATTTGTATCATCTGTTGTAGACCCAAATAAATAAAATCAAATAAGAACTCATTCTCAAAAAAGATAAACGCCATTCTTAAAATGTATA